TTAGGTAAAAATTATATAATGTATGTGTGTGTGTTTTTCAAACATGGCAGAGATCAACTGAGAGCAGAAAATATTTCACCTGCGAATCAAATGATTTCTTTTAGAGCTACAAACAGGACATCTGTCACATTTATTTGTGAAATAATTCATGACAAAGCAGTTCCAGATTATATAGGAGACAGGTAAAGTCTGGGTTAGCATTTTATTACATCACCTCATGTTTGCATCAGTAGTCAGTGTATAATATGGGGGTGGTGGAACAGAGGTTAGAGAAGGTGGGCTTGTTATTGGAAGATCGCTGGTTCAACTCCCGGTACCGACAACATCAATATGTGGATGGGATTGGTAAAGCATCCACACCTGTCTTCACCCTAATTTGCTGCACTCTTGGCCCTTAACCCCCACCATCTGCTCTCCCAGGTGCTCTAGATGGCAGCTCTCTGCTCCACACAGAGGGCTGCGGTAGCTCGATGTTCTGTGGCTGCGGTAGCTCGATGTTCTGTGGCTGCGTCAGGATTGGCATAATTTCCAAGTCTTTGTGCGACTCAGTTCACTGTGGTGACTCCTGAAGAAGGGAGCAGCCGAAAGAAGAAGAAAAAAGTTTGCATCAGGAGTAAATATCCTAAACACACATCACACTTTGTTTCTTATGTTTTTTTATTACTTTTCAATATGGTATTATTTGTCAACATTCCTTCATGAAATTGCCCTTTAGACAACCTTAATAAAAAAAATGTTGAGACAATTTTATATTTTATAGAAATGCTACAACGATGGCCCATCAAATGTTTAAAATCATTTGTGAATACTGTAGTACTTTATTTTCTTAATAACTGCCAGAAATTTCAATAGCATCTTGGACAGGGAGGAAAAATACTTAAAGCTTTCTTTCTTTGTTTGATTAAAGACCTGTCTGTGTGTTTTATTTATTCTTGTTGGTTTCCATCAGTCTAATTTTCTCTCTCAGTCCAGAGACATATAGATTATGTTATCTGATTAAATTGAATTTAGATGCTGCTGTGTGGACGGTTGTGTGTCTCTGTGTTGGCTCCAGGATAAACGGAATACCTCACCTCTCGTATGGAAGCTATAGTTTTCTGGGATCCTGAAAACAGTACAGCAAGTTCAAAAAAGTAAATTAATCCTCTTGGTTGAATGAAAAGACGTATTTTTGTCTTCCTGTAGTCCCCTATTTTTGTTCAATTCCCTGCAGGCATGAGACTCACATGATACATCATGATGCAGGTTTCTTGATAATGATAAAATCACATCCCAGATCATCCAACATGATCAATACATTGCAGAACAGATCTGAAATAATACACTGAAATATTTGTTGAATAATGAATAAAAAAATGTCCTTGAAATGTTAAAGTGCTGATTTTGTTTACTTCCTGTAACTTTCTGGGGGGGGGGGGGGGGGGGGGGAATCAAACATTTTAGAACATTTCAGTGATTTAAACTAATTAAATGTTATTCTTGTTTCAAACACATAACCAAACAAAACTAACTTACTATAATGAACTTTTTTAAAGCTCAAAGGATATGTGTAAGCTTTTATCAATCTGAAGGTGATTAAGTATGCAAGGACAGTCTATGTGCATAAACAAACATTATTCTGGTCAAAATGGAACCTTAAAGAAACCAGTTTGGTGTGGTTCAGACTGATGACCTCAGACTCAAAGGTCATGGTCAGGAAAGCTCTTCATGCTACACACTTTGTTCATTCAACAATTTGAAATAATATTTTCTGCATGTCTAAAGAATGTTTTATGAGAATATATTTAATATTTCTGGTGGGAAATGCAAAGTTTACTACAAAAGCTCATGAACAGTGGGGGTATTCATTTATAAATCAGCTTATTTGTATTGAGGAAATTTTACATATGCATAAAATAAAGCAGCAGTGTGATAAGCGACAGTAGAAGCAATAAACGAGCTTGATGTGAGCATTTTTATCAGTCCTGCTTCTTCATTACTCTTTTCAAAGCAGCTCTTGTGCTGTGAGGTCTTGTGTGGGTGGCCAGGTGCGCAGTGCATCTATTGTGTCTGCAGCTGAATTGTGTTTATGAATATCATCATATTGGAAAGACAATGGTGCACATGTACAAGTTACTTTGCTCTGCTCTGGTAAAAGGGCCATTCTTGCATATCATTTGACCAACTTAAACAAATAAAGCTGCTGGCACACATCACTTAAATTTCAATTTTGTATTTCTATTTATAAAGATGCACATGAAGAACAGTAATTTATGCATATATTCATCCTCATTACTGTCCTTTTTCTGTTCCTCGTAATGTCCCCAATTCATGGGAGCAGAGCCTGCAGAAGAGTCTGAGCTCACTGGCTGGAGATGAAATGAAAGAAAGATGAGTCAATTAATGGGAAGCAACAAGAGTAATGCTTTTGGACAAGTGGAATGAAGTGTGAGCATCACATATTGTCACTGCAGACGCACAAACACACAAAAACAGTCATTATGGCTGTGCATCTCTTGGAGTTTCTTACATCTTCTGTAGTTTAAGTAGATGCAGGGGTGTATGTGTGTGTGTATTTCTCCTTTGGTTTGATTATCTTTAAAAATGGTTTATGACATTTTGAGTTCTGCAGGACAGAATACTGAATCATATTGGTAGCACCCCACATTAGATGGTCTTGTTTTCCTTTTCTTTTATTCACGTGACAATACACATCTCCTATACCTGAGGCTGTCTCACCTTCCTTTTAGTTTGGAGTTTCATTTTCTTTCAGCATCAATTTGATTTGGACAGATGATGTGCAGGAAAATAAAAGAGAGACAGAGACAGAGAAAGCCAGAGAGAGAATGAGAGTGGCAGGGTTGTTCATTTTCTTTGAGCCTCTAAATGTGGAAGCATTATTTGCTTTTTAGAGGGTGTTGTTCAGAAGCAGCCGGCTGGAGAGCATTGCTGCTGTACCTAATCGAAACTGAGAGTGTGACGCCCTGATTAGGAACCCAATGAAAGCGTTTTCACACACGCACACACACACATATCAATGCTGCTGGTGTGTGCTCTGAAAATGCCAATATTCTTTCAATTTTCACAGTTTTACTGCCTCGCTATAATGCATACAAAAAGAAACTTTATTTTGAAGACTAGGAGGAAAGTTAAAGTTAAGCTAAATTGAAATTATACCCCATACTTAAGGTCAGGGACATGGAATCCAAATAGGCCATGTTCAAGGCCTCTATTGCGGATGTGGCTTACAGGAGCTGTGGCCTGAAGGTCACTGGTGCCTGTTGGGGCAGCAACCAAAGGACCCACTGGTCGACACCAGCGGTGATGGAAGGCGTCAAGCTGAAAAAGGAGGCCTTCAGGACTTGGCTGTTCAGGAGGACTCCTGATGCAGCTGACAGGTACATGGTGGCCAGAAGGACTATGGCTTCTGTAATTGCAAAAGCAAAAACTTGAGCATGGGAAGAATTTGAGGAAGCCATGGAGAAAGACTTTTGGTCACCTTCAAGGAAGTTCTGGCAAATGGTTCGATGACTCATGAAAGTAAAGCAGACCCTATTCCAGACTGTGCTTGGCTTGGGTGGGGAACTGCTGACTCGAACTGAGGACATTATTGAGCAGTGGAAGGATCACTTTGAGGATCTCCTTAATCCACCCACCATGTCCACCTTTGAAGAGGCGGAGCCTGAGGACTCAGGAGAAGGTGAGTCCATTACCATGGCAGAGATCACCAATGTAGTCAAAATCTCCTCTGTGGCAGGGTGCGAGGGGTAGATGAGATTTGCCCTGAAATGCTGTAGGTTCTATATGATGTTGGGCTATCTTGGTTGACACATCTCTTCCATGTCACATGAAGGACTGGGACAATGTCTGTGGAGTGGCAGACCAGGGTGGTGGTTCCCATTTTTAAAAGGGGGGATGGAGAGTGTGTTCCAAATATTGTGGGGTCACACTCCTCACACTCCCTAGGAAAGTTTAATCCAGGGTGTTGGAAAAGAGTCTCTGACTGACTGTCAAACCTCAGATTCAGAAGGAGCAATGTGACTTTCATCCTGGTTGTGGAACAGTGGGCCAGCCCTTTATCCTGTTGGAGTTGCTAAGTGAGTCATCTTCAGGCTTCAGTGTGCACTGGGGTGGTTCACAGCTGAATGTGAAGCAGCTGGAATGAAAGTCCATTCCTCTAAATCTTAGGCCATGGTTCAGGGTGGGGGTGGGGGGGACTTTGCCTCAGGTGGAGGAGTTCAAGTATCTGGGCTCCTTGTTTATGAGTGATGGGACAGGAGATAGGTTGATAGATTGGGGACTCGTCCTCAGTAATGAAGGCTTTGCGTCGGTTAGTTGTGGTGAAGAAAGAGCTGAATCAAAAGGCAAAACTCAATTTACTTGTCTGTCTATGTTTTGACCCTCCTCTATGGTCATGAGGTTTGGATCGTAATCAAAAGAACGAGATCCCAGATACAAGCGGCCAAAATGGGCTTACTTTGCAGGGTTACAAGGTTAGTATCGCAGCTTTAGAGATAGGGTGAGGAGCTCCATCATCCAGAGGGATCTTGGAGTAGAGCTGCTGCTTCTCTACATCAAAATGAGTCAGTTGAGTTGGTTTGAGCATCTGATTAGGATGCATCTGGGTCTCCTCTTTGTTTTCCAGGTATGCTCCATTAGGCCCCAGGGAAGACCCAGAAGTGACTGGAGGGATGGCGTAACTTCTCTGACCTGGGAACACCTCAGGGTCCCCCAGAACGAGCTGAAAAGTGTCACTGTAAACAAATGACCAATGAAAATTTGACCTCCTTAGAAGTATCCTTAATATTTATCTTCTTCTGCAGAAAGGTAAAGAGTCATGTTTTTGCATGTCTGTGAGTGTGTGTTTGTTTTCCAAACTAGCTCATGGACTACTGGTTAGATTTTATTGAAACTTGCAGAAAATAATTACTTGATGCACATCTAAAACTAATTAACTTTTAAAATGTCCATGCCAACACAGACAACTGGCCTTAAAAAACATAAAAAAACTGCCATACCTCAGTCAGTTTTAGAGATATACAGTGATAATAATTGTCATGATAGTTACTGAGAATCATCCCCAACACAAAATTTAAGAGCTAGTCATTATGCACATCCTTTGCTTAAAACTTTATCATTAACTTTATTCATAACTAGTCAGATTTCAATGAACCTTTCAGAAATTAGTCATTGAATGCAAATCTAAAACTGATTTTTATAGTCTGACCAGTTCAAGATGGTTGCCACAGCTAATCAACATTAGCAACACAAAAAGAGCTGCAATTTTTCATTTATTGAGTATACTGTATATATCAATAAATACTATATTTAATGAAGTAGAAACTGAGAGGCACTCACAACATATAATTGTGCATGACCTCTCGCAATATCACAAGTTCCTTGTTCTTATAAGGAATGATCGGCCTTTTGTTAAAAAATTGCATATCCTTTTAGGGTTTTCTTCACAAAAATAGTTGTGGAAGTTATGCAGCCTTTTCGTAAAGGACAGTCTTATCAGTGTTTGACCTTTATCATTCTTCCCACTGTCCACCTCTTGCTATCTGTTCTTGTTTAATTTTGCTTTCTCTTTTTTTTTTTTACCTTTTACATTTTTGCTTTACTCCCACTTTTGAGTTTAACCCAGTGGACTCAAGCAGCAAACAGTTGTGTTTGCATAAAAAGAGTAAAACAAGAAAGACATAATTAATTTCTTTGTCTATTTCTGTGCATCCACCTGCTCTGTATTCAGAATGATACATGGAGTAAAGTCAATAGCAGTTATTTCTTATCTCACCTCAAAACCACATCCATCCGCCTAGTTTCCCTTCTTAAGTCTTCCATAAATGGATGACTGTGAACACACACTGTTAAATTTAAACCTCTCGTTTTTCACTTCCACAAGTAAATATGTTCACATTTCATCATTTGGCACAACTCTTTGTTTGCTACCAGACAGCTCTTTTGAATTCAAATATTTTATATGCTTAAGCCTTTAAGCTTTTACTTTCCAACATGTAATAAATTGTACTTGATAAGCTTCAGACTCTTCTTCATGTTGCACATTTTGATGCATAATCATGGGATGTCTGTTATAAAAATGCTTGTAGTGAAAAGAAAATCATATGTGATGAAGATGAGTGATAGAGCGGGTGGTCCCTGTTTAAAACTCCCATTCTGGAGGTCTATTATTACACCGATATGATATACTGCACCTCCTGATTTCTGTAGGCTCTGTAGTGGTTCAGAGGAGGAGTGGTCTCTGACAATCTCCACAAATTAAACTTGTGGAGGTCAGGCTTGTGAAAAATTGAGTGTCAGGCATGAAGCTGTGCTGTTCCTCCCATCTAATCTACAAATCCCAGAAAAAAAATCCATTTAACAGCTTAGATATATTAGATGTGTGTTAGGCTTGCAATGCACAGATATCAAGGATTAATGTAATCTAGAAGGGGTCTGATAATAGAATCTCATTTTGTTGGTTCTGATAGATTGAGCTACTTTTACAAGAAGGGCATTTAATTTTCTCTAAGCTCTTTGTGAACAATCTGCTGGTTAAGTGTCACTCATGCCACTCAAGCTGGCTTGAACTCTCATTTCATCTCATCTCAATGAGGATATGTGAAAAAGTCCTTTGAAACAAACAGTCACAAAACAGAAAATAACCCAATATCATCATATTGACATTCAATCCAAACAGACATAAAAATCTCTAAATAGTCACAGCTCAAACTTGTTGTTTGTGCATGTGATTCTATTTCAGAGTCGTGTGGTCTGTGTCCAATGTTTTGTGTTTTTTGATGTGCGTGGAGCTTGATGGTCCTATTAATCCAGGAAAGGGCAATTTAATTTATCACAAATGATTTGTTGCAACTTGCCCTGTTTTACTAAAAATAACCAATGACTATGAAAACCCTTAATCACATTAATATTAGTTTTAATTCTCAGATCATTTCAAGTTCAGTTTTATGATTGGCAAAGCAGGAAAAAAAGTGCAGAAATCAGTGTTGTAGGACTCAAACTTTCACTCCACTTGACAAGCTTACATCCATCTAACCTACTGACCTCCAAATGTTAAAAAAAAAAAAAAAAAAAAATTCTTGTTGATAGTTGTGATCAAACTGAATTAATCTAGGTGTTTAGCATTGGATGGTTGTGTGAATAATGACCTATGTTATGAAGAAGAGAAAAAGAGTAAAATCAGAGAAGAAGACCAAATGATGGAAGCTGAGAAAAGAAGAATGGTGTGAGGAGTTCAGAGAGGAGCTGTTAAAGGCTCTGGGTGGTAAGAAATAACTTCCAGATGACTGGGCTGTTACAGCAACAGTAATTAGAGAGACAGCTATAGGAAGGTACTTGATGTATCATCTGGACAAAAAATGGATGATAAGGAAATCTGATGGTGGAATAGTGAAGCACAGGAAGATATTCAAATAAAGAGGTTAGCCAAGAAGAAATATGACAGTGAGAGGACTGAAGAGAGAAGACAGGAATGTAAGAGATGCAATGTAGAGCAAAGAGGGAAGTAGCAAAGACAAAGCATAAGGCGTATGATGGGTTGTATGGGAGGCTGGACACTAAAGAGGGCATATGCATAGTACTTCAACTTATATTTCATTAACTTCATGCAGACTCTCTCACTGGTACATTTTCATCTTTAAATCACTTCTTGGTCTGCTGCCTTCATACATCTCCTCCTACATGTCTCTGCGTGAGTGTAGCTACTGCGTGCACTCTCAGGACATTATTACCTGCAGTGTTCCCTCAGTGAGGACTAAACTAGGCAAGAGGGCCTTCTCCTACTCCGCTCCTGTTTCCTGGAATACCTTACAAAAACATTTGAAGCTCTCAACCTTGACCTCTCTAAGTGGCTTTAAGAATCTGTTGGACTCCTGGCAGGGACCAATGCAGGCATGTTCCTGTTTTTAGTTTTCTACATTCGCCTTAGAATCTAGCTGTTTTTTGTTACCAGTTTTTTTTTTTTTTTTACCCATCCTATTTGTTTAAAAAAAAAACTAAAAAAAACCTGACCTCCAAACCTTGACCTCCAAATGCATGTGGTAAAACTCACCCAAGTGCTATCAACTATTAGCATAACAGTGATGTCAGAAATGACGGTTTGTAACTCAGGTAAGGTCACGTCGGAAAAATATCTCCGGCTGGGTAGGATGTAGCGAAGCTCAACATAGTCCAAAACTCTTCGGAATCCGACATCCTCAACAACAACAAAAAAACTTCCACACCACCGACATTTTGAATTTTCCTCTCCGCTGTGATCAAATCAGGTATAGGCACGCATGACGTCATCACGTTGTGCTGGCGCTGCAGGAATCTTTGTCACTGGGTTGTCATACAAAAACAGCACCTTTTTATATCTGTGAGTTATTTTGATGGAATGGCCGATGTCTGATATTGAACTTTAACGGTAATATCGGCCGATACCGATACCATGCCAATAATCTTGTGCATCCCTAGTAAATATTATTGTTCTGCCCTGTATCCTGCTTCCTGTTTTATTTATTTAGACCAAATCCCTTTGGACTCCTAAATCTTATTCAAATTTAACTTAAGCAAATATAACATGGCTGTCACAGCTATTAATCAGCACATAAATGGTTATAGCTCCATCAATTTTACAGATATTGAGCTAAACTTTGATGGTACGTAAGAGTTATTCACTAAACATACTCCTTGTGTAACCTC